TTTCAAAACAAGAGGCCCATGGGCCACATCGCTCACCTGAGTAACTTGGGTGATGCAGTTATTTACCAGATTCCCCCTCTTGCTATACCTATCATGCCCCACTACCCCTTCCCTTTTATGATTTTAAAACTTTAGAATCTACACTACCCCAGGATGCTTCCATATAAGTTTCAGCTTTTGAGGCCCAGTGGTTCTTGAGAAGAAGATTTTTAAAGATTTGTTCTATATATTTCTATGTAAAACTTGGATTCCCTATTGTAGCCATGCCCTACCCCGGGGGTCATGATATTAACAATTTAATATATACACTACCCAAGGATGCTTCCATATAAGTTTCAGCTTTACTGGCTCAGTGGTTCTTGAGAAGAAGATTTTTTTTAAAGATTTGTACCATATATTTCTATGTCAAACTTGGATTCCCTATTGTGGCCCCACCCTACTCCCGGGGGTCATGATTTTAACAATTTTATATCTACACTACCCAAGGATGCTTCCACATAAGTTTCAGCTTTACTGGCCCAGTTGTTCTTGAGAAGAAGATTTTTAAAGATTTGTTTTATATATTTCTATGTAAAACTTGGATTCCCTATTGTGGCCCCGCCCTACCCCCGGGGGTCATGCTTTTAACAATTTTATATCTACACTACCCAAGGATACTTCCATATAAGTTTCAGCTTTACTGGCCCAGTGAATCTTGAGAAGAAGATTTTTAAAGATTTGTTCTATATATTTCTATGTAAAACTTGGATTCCCTATTGTGGCCCCGCCCTACCCCCGGGGGTCATCATTTTAACAATTTAATATCTACACTACCCAAGGATGCTTCCACATAAGTTTCAGCTTTCCTGGCCTAGTGGTTCTTGAGAAGAAGATTTTTAAAGATTTGTTCTATATATTTCTATGTAAAACTTGGATTCCCTATTGTGGCCCCGCCTACCCCAGGGGGTCATGATTTTAACAATTTTATATCTACACTACCCAAAAATGCTTCCACATAAGTTTTAGCTTTCCTGGCCCAGTGGTTCTTGAGAAGAAGATTTTTAAAGATTTGTTCTATATATTTCTATGTAAAACTTGGATTCCCTATTGTGGCCCCGCCCTACCCCAGGGGGTCATCATTTTAACAATTTAATATCTACACTACCCAAGGATGCTTCCACATAAGTTTTAGCTTTCCTGGCCCAGTGGTTCTTGAGAAGAAGACTTTTAAAGATTTGTTCTATATATTTCTATGTAAAACTTGGATTCCCTATTGTGGCCCCGCCCTACCCCCGGGGGTCATGATTTTAACAACTTAATATCTACACTACCCAAGGATGCTTCCACATAAGTTTCAGCTTTCCTGGCCCAGTGGTTCTTGAGAAGAAGATTTTTTAGTGACCCCACCCTATTTTTATCTTTTCTTGATTATCTCCCCTTGTAAAGGAATTTGGCCCTTCATTTTAAGAATTTAAATTCCCCTTCACCCAAGGATGCTTTGTACCAAGTTTGGTTAAAATTGGCCAATTGGTTCTTGAGAAGAAGTCGAAAATGTGAAAAGTTTACAGACGGACGGACAGCTAGACAGACAGACAGACAGACGGACGGACGACGGACAAAATGTGATCAGAAAAGCTCACTTGAGCCTTCGGCTCCGGTGAGCTAAAAACAAAAGAAAGGACACCCTCCCTAATTGTGATATTCTACTATTTTAGGGAACAACTCTCATACTCTATTTAACTTTAAAACTTATTCGAGTTTTTCTCTCACCTTCAGCAATAAGGGTGACGTCACAAAGGATTTTGTCATTTTTGAGCTTGTTGAGCCCCTGTAGAATCTTCATGCCATGTTCGGGCCGCTCCTCGACCCGGTACACCTCACAGGCGGGGCTCTCCTGGCCCTCCTCAGCCATCCTCTTCTCCAACCTTAGCCTCTTAGCATTGGAATGCTGGGTCTGACTTACAGGCATTGGCCATTACCTCCAACTTTCTGATTCCTGCACATCTAAAAGTACAAAATGTTATATTGCTTTTGCTTCTGCTTAATATGTAATACTGGTATTATACATTTATTGCATAGCCAGGGAAAATATGATTTTTTCCTTTCTTGAATAAATATTTATATTGCCAAAACATTCATGCAGTTAATTATCTCTCCTTAAAAGAGGGTGTGACACTTTCTGTGAGCAAACTTTAATCCCCTTTATCCTAAGATGCTTTGTGGCAAGTTTGGTTGAAATGGCCCACTGGTTCTTGAGAAAAGGTCACAAATGTGAAAAGTTTACAGACAACATATGAAAGACTGATGCTGGAAACTAGTTGATCAGAAAAGATTATTTGAGCCTTTGGCTCAGGTGATCTAAAAATGGCAGTCTACTAATGGATATGTGTAGACCATATACTTTTAAGGCAGATCCAAATTAATATGTTGCATTGCAAAACAAATCTGTGCAGTTATTAGTGGAGATTTTACCCATTCCCTGTGGTATATTTTTTCTTGTATTTTTTTTGGTAGTCATATTACATTAAACTCTAAAAAAGAAAAATAAAAAATGTGTATCTAAGTAAGTTAGTTTCATAAAAATTTTGCCTCCATATTGTGTATCAAAATCTAGCTCTAAGGAAGCTATGATTTAATCAAAGTTTAATCAACATAAAATTGGGATACACTGATAATTAATTGTAATCTCATCCTATTCCAGAGGTCCCTGATCTGACAAGCTTTGATTTCCTATTGTGGTGTCATAAATTGAACAAATCAAATCTACTTCACAATATGAGGATGTCTCCATATAAACAAAGCATTTTACAGCTTTGCTGTTTTTGAGAAAGATTTGTTTTATTTTTTTAAATACATTACTTAGTTTAAGATTAATTGTCTATCTGCTGTAGGTTCCAACATATACCGGTGTGGTGACAGGTCAAAATGTGCACAAGTTTTATCTCTTATTTGAAGATATATATGACTAATAGATTTGATGTTCCTAAAAAGAAGGTTTTAAATGATTTTTTCCCATATAAAATGTTGATTGCACATTGTCATGCCACCTTATTCTTTGAACGTTCAACAGTGCTTTTAAAAAAACTTGTATCTATATTAGCTTTTCAAGCTTTAAATTTTGCTAGTTTCGATAGTCCAGCTAACCAGACCAAGATCCATGACCCAAGACTTTATATTTCTCCCTCCTTTAATAGTTTTGTCATCAAAGACATAAAGGATATTCACCATGTTCACTATCACCCACAAGTTCAGGATGAAACAGGAGGAGAAAATGTATCACCATGATTACTAGACCGAGTCAAACTATTGGTCCCTATATTACTTATCAAGTTATCATGTGCTCTAGTTACTGAACTACCCAAGTAGACACTTGCAGAACAAGCCATTACACATGTATACTCTATTCTCAATATATCGCTAGTTCCATTGTGCAGGAATTTTATTTACAAATGTTAACTATTTTCTCTTAATTTAATTCAGTCACTATCATCGATATATGCTATCAAATAATAAAACATTGAGCATAGAAAAAATATTGGCTATTCGTTGTAAGTTCAGTGTAACTTACAAATAGAGTTTTTGATAGGCCTGAATTTCGCGAAAGTTATCTCCTGTTGGTCGCCATATTGGAGGTTGACTCGGTGCTTTTCCCTCTTTGTCTTACCAACTTTAAGAGGTTGTAGCAGAAATATTTGGTGGAAAATCTTTAATAAATAATTTTTTTAAATAAAGGAGGCTTCCAAAAATTTATGTACTTCAGAAAAATAATGATTTCTAATTCAAAATAGCAAATTAAAAAATTTTTTTAAATTGGTTGAACAATGAAGGAATATGAAACATTTGGACCTCCAGTATGCCTGCCAACGGGAAATAACTCATGCTAAATTCTGGCCTATTGAAAATTATTTATATCCAATTTTCAACGTTCCAAATAAGTCTGAGGCACCAATTTAAATAATAATTCTAAGAGTGTATATGTATTTTGCAAGCGGGATATGTGAACTATACTATTTTCATTCTCGACCAAAGGTCATTAGATTTATTCATGATAAATATATTCAATATACATGTATTAGAATGGCCATAATGACTATAGGTATAAAGTGATTCATTAATATGCTATTTTCGGCGTTGACGTAATACTGATTTAAGCGCCTAAAATATATTTTTGCCCTTTAATCTTATATTAAGCTATTCCTTTTTGACCTTATATTACAAAATATATAGTTTTCATTTTAACATGCTTTAGCTAAATGCAAAATTGAGCCAAGGGACCTCTGGGGCTACATTATGCGTAAGAATGAAAATACAGGCTTGATGGGATGTCAGAAATGCTTACGGGTATATTTTACCTATTTCATTATCAAAATTGCATCCAATAACATTTCTTTGTCATGAAACCATCCTGAAAATCCGTTGTCATTGATTCTTTTGAGATGATGATCGTCAATTTTTCTGAGACAAACAGGAAGTGACGACAAAACTAGCGCATGTGAAGAGTTATCTTTCTTTATGGAGGTGCGGATCCCACTACATAATATTCAGTGTGGAAATACAATACATGTACTTTATTTCACCAGATAAAGACGAATCAGTATATGCAAAATAAAATTTCAGTTGCGCCTGATTTATTTACTAAACGGTATACCAGATGGTAAAGAATATTACAATGCTCCAAAATATTTATTTTTAATTCAAAAATCAAAGTTGTAATAAGATTGACTAAGGTTTATTTTCCTATAAACTGACTTTTTGACAGTATACCACACCGTTGAGACATTTTCTATTCATGTAAATTTAAGCGTGTGGCATTCTATGCGTTATACAGTATTTAGCCAAACCTTTCCTCCATCGCACATATCATTAACAATAACGCCATTTAATCTTAATTAATTGAAGGTTACTTCATATGTAACTTGGTTTTCTAAATGTTCTTTCTATCTTTTTCATTAGATATGAAATAGTTCTAAATCTACAAAATAAAAAGGAACTGAATTTCGAATAAGAATATTAATGTTGTAAGCGACAGAACGGAAGTTAAATTTTCAACATGGAGTCGAAAGAGGGAGAAGTGGATACTGACAATACGATAATCTCAGAAAAGATAGAGAATATGGAACCAGTAGGTGGGAAAGGCATTGTAAATGATGGTAATAAAAAGGGAAATATTTCTGAAATAGATTTCAAAACTCCAACTCTACCAATAAAATCTAAACGAATCGAGAGAGAAAACGTCAGCACCACGAAAACAGACACAAGTAATTTGGAGTCACGTGCAACTGAAGAAGTTAAGAAAGAACTGATAAAAGAGACTAGAAAACCTCCACTCAGTCTCCAAGCAAAACAAGTCAGCAAGTTATCCCCAGCGGAGCAGTTACAACAGTCCCGGATTGCCATTCCTTACAAAGAACCCTCCTGGGGTGGAATATGTGAAGAAGATTACAAATTTGAAGTTTTAAAAAATGGAGCCATTATTGACAATATTAAATTGGATAAGAATTATATTGTGTTTGGGAGACTGCCAAGTTGTGATGTGCCGATGGAGCATCCTTCGTTGTCGAGACACCATGCTGTGGTGCAGTTCTGCAAAACAAGTACCGAACAGCAGGAAAAGGGCTGGTACCTTTATGACCTAGACAGTACACATGGAACCTGGATTAACAAAAACAAAGTGTATCCAAAGAAATATTACAGAATTAGAGTTGGGCATGTTCTGAAGTTTGGTGGGAGTACAAGGTTACATATACTGCAGGTGAGAAATACAAGTACACAAATAGTCAATTATCTTTATATTTATTTAATTTTTGAATATATATATGTTTAATAGTTTGGGCTTTACAGACCGTGGATATCGGCCTGGATAGCTCAGTTGTTAGAGCACCGGAATAGTAATACAGGGGCCCAGGGTTCAATTCCCGGTCAAGCCACCTGTTTTCTTACAGTTGTTTCACAAACATCTCTTGTTTATAATCTGATGATTAAAAAAAAATGTAATAAACATATAGCATATCAAATCACCATAACCCAAAACAACCCCCTCCTTGTTGCATATGTGTATATTTTAATTTTTAAGTTTCATTTCAGGGGCCTGAAGAAGACAGAGAAGAAGAGTCAGATCTGAGTGTAGAAGAGATGAAGCAACAGAGGGAGAAGCAAAAGAGGGAGGCAGAGTTCCTCAGGCAGGCAGAACTGGCTGAAGAAGAGCGAAAAATACAGGAATTGAAGGCTAAAGAAGAGGCAAGAGGATGCTCATGGGGAATGGGTAGGAAAAATATTTTTTCATCTTGGTTTTATAAAGATGATAAAAATAGCAGATGAAAACTCATTAGTGAATATTTACAATATTAAACATTTTTAGAAAATTTATAAAAACAATTTTAAAAAGTACAATAGACAATAGACAGTGTTTTATTTCCAATCAAGGGCCCCCAGAGAGGCATGAAAAACACATTAGTAGACAAAAGCAGTACATTATCAATAAGGAGATGAAAAAAAACCAAAGCAAACTGTGTAAAAGTAAAATTGTAAAATACCTACAAATCAAGTTGTTGCACTTTATAATGTCATATTACCGGTAATTAAATGATTAGAAAGTTAGTCTCCAAGTTGAAGTAAGACATTCATATTTTCACATGTAACATGTAATGACCCCAAAATATTTTTGAGACCTGTCTAAGCTATTAAAATTTTTATTATATTTCTGTGCTTCATTTAGAAGTTTTGTTCTTCTTTTTTTTTTGTAAAAAGGACAATCTATGGTAAAATGTATTTCGTTTTCCACTACATTCAAATTACATTTTTCACATATTCTTTTATCTATTTCAAGTCCAATATATCTACCAGTTTCAATTTTAAGTCTGTGAGAAGATATTCTTAATCTGGTTATGCCTGTTCTAAAGTCAAAGTTATTCAGTAATGTTAAATATACTTCACATTGGTACATGTACAGTATTTATAATATTTAGAAAGTGGCTGGCTATGGAAACTTTTGAATTTTGTAGAACATTAATTATTACAAAGTGAATATTAAAAGTACTTGTATTCTTATTTGAAAGATACTGTAAACGTATTACATTTGGCTGTGTATTCTTTTTAGCGCTTTTGGCGGAAAGGAACTTCTGCTAATTCAAGTACAATGCTAAATGTCTTGCACATATATACATAAATAAGAACATTGAGAAATGTGCTAAGTCAAATCTACGCTAGCTTGTTCAAAAATCAATTTCCGCCAAATATCGTACACGCTAAATATAATACATTTACAGTAGTGTTAAAGAAGCTCTTCCGAGTTTCTCCAAAAATGAGTGATTCCTTACTATACATACTATTAGTAATTAGTAATTTAGTAAGACAAATAATTTTATAACAATAAGATTTATATATGTTGTTATTTTTTGAAACAAAAAACATCAGGAGAACTAAGAAAGGAATAAAAACTGTTTTAAATGAAGAGAAACTACCAATGCAGATCATTTTAACTGTACCATATACATGTATCTAAGGAGCTAAGAAGCTTTTCTATACAAATCATGTAGATTGACTCAGATAAAACATAAACATTGAAGATATTGTATTATCTGCAGGTGAGGATGCAGAAGAAGATGAGGCAGACAACCCATTTGCCAGTCTCATTAACTCAGAGAATGAGCAACTCTACATAGATGATCCCAAAAAGGCACTCAAAGGATATTTTGAAAGAGAAGGTATGTTATACAATTGTCAAAAAAATTTAAATTTTGTTTCATCAAATAATCAGAGTTCCTTTAAATAATAACACAAAATAATAATGAAAAAGAAACAAAAAAAAAAATAAATAAATAAAGGAAATAGAGAGAAAAAAAACCTCCAAAGAAAAAACAAAATGCCAGTAAATTACACATAGCAAAGGGCCAGGGATGGGCAATTTTGTTTCATTATACCGGGTAAACATATTTTTTTATATCCAATAAGTTCATAGTATACTGTTTTTAAGCCAGAGGGAATAAAAAGCACTTCACTTTAAGCATCTTTTCATCATAAGCATACCGGTAATTGCTCCGAGTGTATATTACAGTAGTTTGAACTTTCACACACATTTTGTGTTGTTTATAGGATATGAAGAACCAGAATACAATGTCCAAGAAAATGGAACTGGGAAATTTAGATGTACAGTAGAGTAAGTATTCAGACACATTTACCTGAAGCCAGAGTTCTCTTTTTTTAAAAAGAGAAATGTTTCTTATTCACAGCTTTCATCTCATCTACATTGTATCTTGTGTTTTTTAAGATTACCAGTGGACACCCCAACAGGAGAGCCAATGGTGGCTGAAGCCATTGTTTCTGGGAAGAAGAAGGAGTCTGTTATACAATGTGCTTTGGAGGCCTGTCGCATGCTGGACAGAATGGGTCTACTAAGGGCAGCAACTCATGGTAAAACCTCAACAGTTTAATACAACATGTAACATGCTTTAATAACTTTTTTTTAGCTCACCTTGGCAAACTCAATTTGGGGTTATACTATACCCTTGGCGTCAGTGTTGGCATCCAAATTAAAGTTCAAGAAGCAAGTGCATTTCCAAGTAAATATAAGTCCTATATTGGCCAAACTTACAAGGATGCACATAGTCAGGCAAGCTTCAAATGCTGGATCTGACCTTCATTATTTGGATGAGTGACCAGGTTTTTTGGGCAGGTTCATCCCCAAGTAACTGAAAATCCTACTTGGACCAAACTTGCAAGGCTGAGGCATCAAGGGATGAACACTTCGTTTCAGCCACACCGCCTTAAGGATGCATTATCTACTCTTGCTGTGCTCATTTTTGTAACGCAGTGAATGACTTTAACATTTAATCCTTACAGAGAGTCGTAAGAGGAAGAAGAAGAACTGGGAGGACGACGATTTCTATGACAGTGATGACGACACGTTTCTGGACCGAACGGGAGACATAGAGAAAAAACGCAAACAGAGAATGCAGAAAGCAGGCAAAATGAACGACCAAGTGGAAACTTACGAGTCATTGGTAGAGACATTTTACTTTGAATATCAACTTTTAAAATGTGACAATGTCTCTCTTCATAACAAGCGACTGAAGAACAATGGGGAAAAAATTCAAAAACTTGTTAGAGCATGGATATCTTAGTTTTGATGCATACAGCAACACTTTTAAAGTGTTGTATGAGATATTGCTCTATTTCATACATCATTTACCTGTGTAACATTATTACTACTAAAATTTATCATTTCAGTTTGATGGATGAAGATAGTGCACATGTACTTAGTATGAAATCACCCTATAATGTATATACACATCAATAACCTTAAGTACAAAAATTTTGCAGACAGAAAAACTTGACAACATACAGAGGGAAATAAAAGACATTGAAGAAAATTTGGCCAAAGCAAAGAAAGGTATTTACATGTAATTGCATGCAAGTTGATTAAAAGTAAATGTAACAACTAGTTTCTTGGAGACTTATTGTTAATTTTATTTTTACATAGTTTGAATTTCTGGGTATAATTGTTCATGTGATATGTACAATGTATATATTTTTATTTAAACTGTTTTTTATTATATGTCATATTAATACTTAATAGGATTGAACAACAGGCACATTGCCTAAACAAGCTCTCCCCAAAACAGAAATTTTTATTTGAACTTGATCGACTCCCCAAGTAATCATCCATCCATTGCCTGTTCCGAATCCTTTTTAGCTCACCTGAGCCGAAGGCTCAAGTGAGCTTTTCTGATCAAAATTTGTCCGTTGTCTGTCGTTGTCGTTGTCGTTGTTGTCGTTGTCGTCGTAAACTTTTCACATTTTCATCTTCTTCTTGGGCCAATTTCAACCAAACTTGGCACAAAGTATCCTTGGGTGAAGGGGATTCAAGTTTGTTCAAATGAAGGGCCACGCCCTTTTCCAAGGGGAGATAATCATGAATTTGTTAAAAATTAATGGCATTTTTAAAAAATCTTCTTCTCCAGAACCGCTGGGCCAGGAAAGATGAAACTCATATGGAAGCAACCTCAGGTAGTGTAGATTCAAGTTTGTTCAAATCATGACCCCCGGGGCAAGGGTTGGCCGACCCTAGTTTTACATAGAAATATATAGGAAAAATCTTTAAAAATCTTCTTCTTGGGCCAGGAAAGATGAAACTCATGTGGAATCATCCTCAAGTAGAGGAGATTTAAGTTTGTTCAAATCATGACCCCTGGGGCAAAGGTGGGGCCAAAATGGCCGACCCAAGTTTTACATAGGAATATATAGGAAAAATCTTTAAAAATCTTCTTCTCCAGAACCACTGGGCCAGGAAAGATGAAACTCATGTGGAATCATCCTCAGGTAGTGTAGATTCAAGTTTGTTCAAATCATGACCATCGGGGCAAGGGTGGGGCCAAAATGGCCGACCCTAGTTTTACATAGAAATATATAGGAAAAATCTTTAAAAATCTTCTTCTCCAGAACTACTAGGACAGGAAAGATGAAACTCATGTGGAATCATCCTCATGTAGTGCAGATTCAAGTTTGTTCAAATCATGACCCCCGGGGCTAGGGTGGGGCCAAAATGGCCGACCCAAGTTTTACATAGGAATATATAGGAAAAATCTTTAAAAATCTTCTTCTCCAGAACCACTAGGACAGGAAAGCTGAAACTCATGTGGAATCATCCTCAGGTAGTGTAGGTTCTAATTTGTTCAAATCATGACCCCTGGGGCAAGGGTGGGGCCAAAAAGGCCGACCGAAGTTTAACATAGGAATATATATTAGGAAAAATCTTCAAAAATCTTCTTCTCCAGAACCACTGGACCAGGAAAGATAAAACTCATGTGGAATCATCCTCAGGTAGTGCAGATTCAAGTTTGTTCGAATCATGACCCCCGGGGCTAGGGTGGGGCCAAAATGGTCGACCCAAGTTTTACATAGGAATATATAGGAAAAATCTTTAAAAATCTTCTTCTCCAGAACCACTGGGCCAGGAAAGATAAAACTCATGTGGAATCATCCTCAGGTAGAGCAGATTTAAATTTGTTCAAAGCATGACCCCAGGGGCTAGGGTGGGGCCCAAAATGGCCGACCCAAGTTTTACATAGGGATATATAGGGAAACCTTTTAAAATCTTCTTTACAAGTACTTCAAAGCTGGGATTAGTGATATTTATATGGAATCATCCTCAGGTAGTGTAGATTCTAGTTTGTTCAAATGATGAACGCCTGGAGGGGGTGGGGGGTGGGGGTGGGGGGAGTAAATTCAAGCCTGATGTGCTCAGGTGAGCGCTGTGGCCCCTGGGCCTCTTGTTTCACATGGTCTAACTTTTCCAGAAGCACTTTACTTATTTTATAAAATGAGAATTTACACCTAAAATGTCACATGATATTTTTTCTATATGCTTTTTAGAGTTTTTATGTATAATTGAATTGCCTAAATTTGATCATCATTTTTGTTGTCCATACAGAGACTGAGGCAATGCAGGAGGAAGGAATAGATGCCCTGGATGCCTACATGTCAGCCATCAAATCAGGAGCCATGGATACCAAGACAAAGATGAAACTGAAGAGACAACTCCTGGAGCTGAGGAAGGAAGCACAGAAACTGCAGAAGCTCATCAACGTAGCTAAACCTGCAGCCCTGCCACAACTCACAAGGTATCCAGTGTAAAAAAGGCTGTTTTGCTGAATATTAGACATTCATACCAATAAATTTTCCAACTTTTGAGATGATTTTTTAACAAGCATAAACTACCTGAATGGATTAATTGTGAATTTTGATTGTGAGCTTTATATAAAATAATTCTTCTGTATCAACTATTCAGTAACAATGCTGCAGTAAAGGCAAGGACAGACAAAGCCCATTATACATTTGGTAGACTGAAGAAGCCATTTGGAAATCCTAAGCCTAAGGTACAGTTAGAGAGTTCTATACTTACTGTACTTACTTTTTATCAAAGTTATGGTCATGTTTAACATTGGTTAAACTTACAGGTATATGTATTGTCTAATGTCATTCATTTCAAGATTGTTTCCACAGTGTCTTTTTTACTTTATGAAATATATATAAGGGGCATGGCTTAAGCTCATCTCAACTTGTCAAAGTGGATGAAAAATTAAATCTCATCATGGTACCATTTAAAATTCTAACATACAATCAGATGATTAAAGGATCTGAACATTTTGCAGTCCCTTCCAAAGATCCCGACTGAGAATGAGGAAAACATTGTGGAGGAAGAGGAGGAAGATGAGGCTGTCTCCATGGAGACCACTGAAACAAACACCTCCTCGGTAGATACCTCAACCAAGACTCCAGGGACGGAAGGGCAGAACAGATTAAATGTGACCGGGGAGGCTGAATCAGTGACTAAAACTGTAAAAAATGGTGAAAGCATTCATGAGACCTCTGAAGCAGAGAAAACTGTGACTTTAATAAAAGATTCTGCTGAGCCTCCTGCAGCACCCATAATCAAGGGTCCCACCATGCCTCCTCCTGAGTTGAGAGAGCAGGAAAGCATGGAAGAAAGTATTTCAGTGGAAGAAAACAGAAAGTCAGAGAAACAAAAGAAAATCAAGCCCCTTCCTAAGGTATGATATCATGTACATGTACTTGAGCATGTAGCCAGGTGAGTTGACAAGCATGAACTAGTTTTCCAGATGGATACCCCTACTCTCAAAATCCTTACATTAATTAGAGAGCCTTAGTTGTAATACATAAATGTACGTACTCTTCAAGTTTCAAAATATTCTTTTAGGGAAAATCAAACATTTATGCATTTGCAGGAAGCAGCTAAACCGAGTTCATGATCTGCATACTTTTAATGATGTTCTTTCCATAAAATATATGTTTACATGTAAAATGCTGTGCAGTTCACTATAATCAAAATAAATAGATCCTTAACAACTTTAAAATTTCAAAACTTTTTGTAAGCCCTAGGTAAAATTTTTGTCACAGAGATAAAAGGTACTGTACCCTTTCAAGGCCATAACTACCATGGAGGCAAATGCCGTACTAAAATTTTAGAGATTTCTATGAACTTTAATTAATATTGTTTGTCTGTACAAAAATTAAGACTTTCAACTTTTGTTTCATTTTCTATAAATGGATCTCGCCAGGTGCTTCATTATCGTCTAGAAAGCATGTAAAAATGATTCAAAATGTAAAAACTTTGACTTGGTCTTTAGATGCCTAAAAACCCAGCCTCCCCCTCAGAGAATCACCCTTGTTACCCCCAGATCCCCTGCCTCACTAAAAAGAACTATATGTGGTATATTGCATATATTTGCCCCAACAAAAGTCAAATTTTGAAAACTTCCTAAAATGTGCTGAATTCAATAAATTGTATGAGAAATATAAATTAACAGAAAATATTATAGTGTCAAAGCAGTGTATTCACAATTTTTTTTATGACGTCACAAACTAGTCCGATTTTATATCCTTTTTCAGAAAGAGGACAAAATGGACAAAATTTCAACAATTTTAGCTTTAAAATTTATAGAGCGCAAGTTTGTTCAGGAACAATATTGACATATTTCATTGATATTATCATTCTACACATTATATCAAAATATTGATCCTGAACACACATGCGCTCGGTGACTTTTACTCAAAATATCGACAAGATATATATATTTTTCTGTAAAATTCATAAAAAACTGAAATTTACGTCATGTTTGTGACGTCATTATGTACATATGGCGTCATTACTTATGAAAATATTCAGTGCTTTGAAGTCAGCATATACTCCCCTGTTTAAGAACTTAATTAAATATATCTCCATCAAAGTTTGATTTGGGAGGCAAATATTGGTTATTACCGAATAAAGTTCTTTAAGCCTAGTTACGGTCTTGCCTTTATTACTCAGTGCTTCAATATACCCCTTGGTATTCATATTTTGATACATGTAGTTATGCCCAGTTTTGTAGTGGTCATAAACGATAAAACATTTTAAAAAATTCCTACAGGTAAAGAAACAAGATGTGAAACTGGGACCTTCCTACTCCTCTGAGGATCCAGACTACGCTGTGTGGGTCCCTCCAGAAAGTAAGTCCCATTCATTGAAGTGATTCGGAGGAATTAGGCCTATGTCATTTCAATGCTATATTGAGTAATCTGTTGAGATTTACATTATTGACTCTAATTTTATACATGATTTAATAGTATAATTTTATGTGTTTTCTTTCTAAAAATGTTAGTTTACACACTCTGACTTTTGTTTTTTACAGATCAATCAGGAGATGGAAAGACATTTCTAAATGAAAAATTTGGATACTGATTTAATACGTATTGTTCACCAATCTGTAAAAAATAAAGGAAAAATACATGTGTTCATTTTGTATTTTTTAGGGTGGATTTTTTTTCTATTGTGCATTGTCTGTGAAACAGTTTCTGTTTTTAGGTCACCTGGGCTGAAAGCTCAGGTTAGATTTTCTGATCACCCATTGTGCGTCTGTCTGTAAACTTTTCACATTTTCAACTTCTTTTCAAAACCACTTTGCCAATTTTAACCAAACTTGGTACAAAGCATCCCTGGGTGAATGAGAATTTAAATTGTCAAAATGAAGGGCCAATTCCTCTGTCAATGGAAGATAATCAAGACAAGAAGTCTTTGAGACAATGCTCACTAGTAATACCCCTGCTGTAATGTAAATATACACTATCATATTAATATACACAAGTTCAGTTACAGGCAGATGCACAGATTAACAAGAATTAGATTAACAAGAAGTTAACAATAAATCCCACCATATGGCATGCCTCAATAAAGTATGTGCTAAAATTTCAAGCATCTGCAATGAGTAATTGCCGAGAAAACTTTGAAGAATATTTGTCATGTATGGTACTTACAGAGGCACAGATAGAGGAAGTTATCTGATTTTGAACAAAAATGAATCCTACCTATGGCATGTCTCGGTAAAGAGTGTGCTAAATTTTCAAGCATCTGCAATGAGTAGTTGCTAAGAGAACTGTAACCAAAAATTTGTTATGGACAGCTACACAGACAGACAGACAAGGATAAAACTGTTTACCCCCTCTCCTTTGGAGTGGGGGTATAGAAAGAAGAAAATAGGATGGGTCATTAAAAAATTTCTTCTCAAGAAAAACTGGGCCAGAAAACATACAATATGGAAACATCCTGGGGAAGTGTAGATTTAAAATTGTCAAGAGCCACTGAGCCAGACAAGATCAAACTTGGAAAGTAAGCATCCCGGTGTCGTGTAGATTGTCCAAATCATCAGTAAATCTCGTGCTCGTCTGTCCGTCTCTGAAGCTAATGAAGCCAAATACGCATGTGAATCTCATGCGTGTCTGTCTTTGTTTCTGAAGCTAATGAGGCCAAATATGCATGTAAATCTTGTGTGCGTCCGTCTTTGTGTCTGAATCTAAGGAGGCCAAATATACATGTAAATCTTGTGCGTCTGTCTTTGTGTTTGACATCAGTGGGCTTCGGCAGTTACGCAAATTATCCCACGTCCCCATCTGCGTTGATGCCCTAAATGCAGCGGTTGCGAAGAAGCTGAAAATGTTCAAATGTTAACACACGACAGACGAAAACATAGCAGCAGGTCACTCAAGTTTATTCCGGTGATCTAATAAAACAAGTTCACCTGAACCTTTGTCTCCCGTTTTTTTTTGATAAAATCCAGTTGCCACCTTCAGCTTTACAAACCAAGTACAGTAGCTGCACAAATGACCATTCATGATAATTCTTGGACAAAAAATCCTTGAATAAGACTAAATGAACACAATACTTTTTCCATTTTTTATTTACAAGTATTTTTTTTTTCTCTAACAACTTTCTTTCTTTCCTTTAACTTGAATTTTTCCACGTCAATAAATCCGAATGTCATTTTGAAGTTTGGTGAATTGAGGTTCACAACAGGAGAAACCAGACTTGAAGCACTTAAATTTAGGACAAGAAGCACTATTTATGACAAGTTGTTGAAACAATAAATAATTTACAAATGCCAACACAGATAAAATTGTCCCTTTTTCCAGTTTGTTGCATATTATAGGGCCGATGTTCATAATTTGTCAAGGAAATTGTCCAGAGCTGGTACACCTTCCTTTAATCCCTTGCGTTTCCTGGTATCAGTAACGACCTGGAAAGGTTTAGTGTTAGAGTCCAACGGATCTCCTGGTAAGATATCCCAGTGATCAAACACACACTGTGGGAAAGCTTGGCCTCCCGTACATGATCTCAGATCTCCAGTGAAACCTGAAAATCAGAGAACAAAAAATTTAATTACCAAAAATTATAGTATTAATTTTACAGGATATCTCAGTAACATTTTTTTTATTCAGTTGTATCAGAAACTGTGTTTAATCATCCTTTTTCATAGGATTGACAGATTTAAAAGTATTCTTCATCATATACAACTAAATTTCATCCCTAGTTCTTCTAAAAGCAATGAATGCCTTATAGGAAGTATTGTTCTATTTATTACATTATAAAGCTATTGAAAACTTACCAAATGATTCATTTACAGGCAAGTGGGCCTTGACCATCCATTGTGGGGTGGATCCAATCTGTCCGTTATCAAACACCACACCTCTCCTCTTGTTCAAGCACTGGAAGATTCCTCCTACAGCTTGCTCAGGGCACTACAAAAAAATATTATTTGATTAAGCTGCAATTTAATACATCTTTTTTTTATTCATCTGAATATCATTGAAAACTCAAAATAATTCAAAGCACACTTATATTTACACTGAAAAATATTATCAAAACATGTTGCACATCCAAACCAGAAGTCTCTGTCGAGACTGAAGCTCTACTGGTTTGAACTTATAGCAAAGGAAGAGAAAGTACTTAAGCAGCTGGGATTTGAAACTTTATAAACAGCATTAAATAGAATAATGATCGTTGATAAAGTCTCTTTATGTTCTTAGTGTAGTCTACTTGTGTGCCAAGTTATACTGAAATCAGACCAAAACTGTAGGAGGAGTAGCATTTTGAAACAATTTTACAGACATTTCTATTTTTAGTAACCATGGCAACACCGTTCATCAAAATTAAAATTCAATATGCAGAATTATGTATCTTAGTGTATTCTTCTTGTTTGCTAAGTTATACTGAAATCAGACCAAAACTGTAGGAGGAGTAGCATTTTGAAACAATTTTACAGACATTTCTATTTTTAGTAACCATGGCAACACCGTTCATCAAAATTAAAATTCAATATGCAGAATTATGTATCTTAGTGTATTCTTCTTGTTTGCTAAGTTATACTGAAATCAGACCAAAACTGAAGGAGGAGTAGCATTTTGAAAGAATTTCAAATTTCTATTTTTAGTAACCACGGCAACACCGTTCATCGAAATCAAAAACCGATACACAGAATTATGTATCATAGTGTAGTCTACTTGTGTGCCAAGTTATATTGAAATTAGACTAAAACTGTAGGAGGAGTAGCATTTTGAAACAATTTTACAGACATTTCTATTTTTAGTAACCACGGCAACACCATTCATCGAAATCAAAAACCAATACACAGAATTATGTAACTTAGTGTATTCTACTTGGGTGCCAAGTAATACTGAAATCAGACCAAAACTGTAGGAGGAGTAGCATTTTGAAAGAATTTCACAGAAATTTCTATTTTTAGTAACCACGGCAACACCGTTCATCGAAATCAAAAACCGATACACAGAATTATGTATCTTAGTGAATTCTTCTTGTTTGCCAACTTATACTGTAATCAGATCAAAACTGTAGGAGGAGTAGCATTTTGAAACAATTTCACAGAAATTTCTATTTTTAGTAACCACGGCAACACCGTTCATCGAAATCAAAAACCGATGGACAGAATCATGTATCTTAGTGTAGTCTACTTGTGTGCCAAGTTATATTGAAATCAGACCAAAACTGTAGGAGGAGTAGCATTTTGAAAGAATTTCACAGAAATTTCTATTTTTAGTAACCACGGCAACACCGTTCATCGAAATCAAAAACTGATACACAGAATCATGTATCTTAGTGTAGTCTACTTGTGTGCCAAGTTATACTGAAATCAGACCAAAACTGTAGGAGGAGTAGCATTTTGAAAGAATTTCACAGAAATTTCTATTTTTAGTAACCACGGCAACACCGTTCATCGAAATCAAAAACCGATACACAGAATTATGTATCATAGTGTAGTCTACTTGTGTGCCAAGTTATATTGAAATTAGACTAAAACTGTAGGAGGAGTAGCATTTTGAAAAATTGTTTACAGACAGACAGACGGACGGACGCCGGACGCATTACTATCGCATTAGCTCTTCTGGTCTCTTACCAGTAGAGCTAAAAACAACTTAAGGCCATATAAAATTGAAATCTTGGTTCTCAGGCCCGCGCGCATCCGTTTTGAGGTAGCTGCATTATCGATTTTATTGTATTTTTAATAAAATAAAAAGTTGGTATTGCGGAGACCAATCCGGGAAAAAAAATTCCGACCTCATTTGTTTCGTAGTTTAGTATTCAAATATCACTTCCGGTAGCCATTTACAATGAGATTTTGGCTACTTCGTTTGAAAATACATTCGAGGACATTACCTACGATGTTTAAGTGCTGTTAAGCAATGGATAAAGCAGAAATTTTGACCAGAAATGGAAATTATATCTGTGATTAAAAAAATTATCTTTATGTTAAAAAAAAATTCCTAAATTAAAATTAAAAAAAATACCTCCCTCATCTTCTTTATTGCCAATAAAATGAAAAATAAAATGCCGCCCTCCCGCATCTGTTTTGGAGAAAATTGGCCTGAGAACCAGGGAATTAAATTTAGATAGCCTAACTAATACATTTTTTTTTATTCATCTGAATATCACAGAAAACTCAAAATAATTCAAAGCACACTTATATTTACACTGGAAAATATTATCAAAACATGTTGCACATCCAAAAACAACTTAACAAATTATCAGGATTTCCTTGAGCATAACATGAATTCTACTTAACACAATCTTAATTTTCAACTCTCCAATGTGAACTAGTTTTGCCAATTTTCATGTAATTTATATAAACTTATATATATGGTCATGTCTTTACAATATTTAAGAAAAAACTTGACAAATGTGTGGAGGTTAATCTACAATAAATCAAACTTTACAAGTAATAAAAATTTCTGCCCATAATGACTGACCTGAATTTCAACAAGGTAGACTGGCTCCATGATTCTGGGCTGGGCTGTCAGCATACAAGCGTACAGAACTCTTCTGGTAGTGGGGATGATCTGTCCACCTCCTCTGTGGATGGCATCAGCGTGCAGTGTCACGTCATGGATGTTAAATCTGGCACCTCGGACGTTTTCTTCACATAGAACACCCTGTCAATGCACAAAT